TATGTTATCGTTGACGTATTGCCGAATCGCTGATGCCATGTGATACGTTACTATGGTTCGTTTGTGTGTGTTTTTCTGCGCGAGAAGGAGTGAACCCCTACACCGGCTTATCTCTCTGTTCACTTTTGTAACCTTCGTCATGGAGTTAATAAGACAAGTTGCATAGTTTTAATCTATTTTGACTTGATTCTTCTTGTGCATCCTCCATCTTTTCAACGTAAAAACCCAGACCGGAGGCGATGCAGTACTCGATCTGCCTTTCTATACTCATCCACCATATAGTCACTGTGAACTTGAATTGTTCGATAACCGTGATGCGATCTTCTCTAAACTCGCACTCCCTACCGCCGTCACAATTCTGCTTTGTCTTAAATTTTATTTGCTGTTCGCCTCTTCAGCCTGTCATTTATTGTTTTAGTTTTAAATATTTCTCAGCGCTGATGAATGTACACGTACGTGTTTTTGTTTTTTCGCTGGGATGCACACGCGTACAATAGCAACAGAGGAATGCGTATGCATTGTGTCAAGATGCGATGCCATAGTCGAAGAAATGGTTTTTTCTGATCTGCTTGTAACTATTTATCGTGTCTGTACGGCACAAGATCTGTTCAAATGATGACGGAACTTAATGTGACTTGCACCTAAGAAAGATGATAGAACCTGAACGGTCCGCAAAAGCTGTGCTTACTTTTCAGTGATCTATGGCTAGTGCAGCGTTTTGTGTTGTTTCTGTTAACCTTCAGATACTTCGGACACGATTGTGAATTTTACTTCCCGTGCAATTTAGACCTATCTACATGTCCATGAAAAGTGTAGGAAACACAATACCCGAATCAATGGTATCAGAGCTCTTCGCAATGCTGCTATTGCTATGACACCTCAATCGTGCACATCCACCGAGCTTTTGATAGTTTGAACTTGGGCATGCGGTTCCCGAATAGTGCAGAGAAAATTTGTCTTTCGCGCAACTCCACATGCCCGCATTTAAGCCTTCACAATCACCGAGAACGTGCACCACTGATAATTCGTAACTAATGCTTTACGATTGTAACTTTAACCTGTCTACTTCACGTGACATGCTCATCGTTCAATATTCTCCTACTTAGTATCAATAACGGTATCAGATTTGCACACCCAATGGAAGTTGTACGCGGAGTAAAAGAAGTATCAACTGAAAAGCTGAGAATCACTGTAAACCTTTTCTAATCTATCTGAGTGCCATCCATTCCACCTGTAACGTTCTAGTCTCACTCTTCAGCTCGGGGTTAATGTCTACGTTCTCCCAGTAATACCCAACAGGGTTGAAACGGTTGTGTAATGCCTCCCAGCTCTTCAATTTTAACATTTCTGTTCTTGGTATACAATGACTATCATTTTTTATCTGTGAATACATGGAGCAGTGCTTTGGACCCCCTGGAGAAGATTTTGTTTGTTTTGGGTGATAATTCAATTTGATGACCACATTTCAGTGATGTGTACCGCATCCTGCTTCCGTACTCTTTGTGCAACCCTTCTTCTCGCATCC